ATATGGGGCTGGCGCCCTACTCCTTTGAGCCACAGGCCCTGCCCAACACCAGGCTATTTTTTGTTGAAGTTTGACTAGGACTGGGTTTGAACCCACCACCCTCAGTTATGGGGCTGCCACCCTACTCACTGAGCCACGGGCACTGCCCTATTTTATTTTAATTTTTGGAAACAGAGTCTCACTATGTCGCCCTTGGTAGAGTTCTGTCACATCACAGCTCACAGCAACCTCAAACTCTTGGGCTTAAGCGATTCTCTTGCCTCAGCCTCCCAAGTAGCTGGATCTATAGGCGCCTGCCACAACACTCAGCTATTTTTTTTGGTTGTTGCGGTTGTTTAGCTGGTCCGGGCTAGGATTGAACCTGCCACCCTCGGTGTATGTGGCTGGTGCTGAGCCTAGACAATTTAAAATTACATATGTAGCTTGCATTTGTGGCTAACATATTTCTATTGGAGAACACTGTTCTAAGCAGGGGTCAGCAGACTTTTCTTTGGAAAAGGGCTAGATAATAAGTATTTTAGGCTTTGTGGGCCACACCAAGTCTCTGTCATATATTTCTGAGGTTTTTTGTTGTTGTTGTTGTTATCCTTTTGTTATAATTCCTTAAAAATGTAAAAACTATTCTGAGCTCACAAGCTGTATGAAAATATAACGTAGGCTGGATTTAGCCTATGGGCTGTAGTTTGCCAAACCTTAACCTCAGCAGACCAACTGGCCTGAGATTTTAATATTGTCAAGAATAAATATGAAGCTTTAAGATTATAAACATATGAGCAGTCAACATCTTGATTTCCTATAGAAAATAACTTTATTTTCCTATATATTACAAATTATTCTTCAAAATTGAGTGATGTAACTTTTCTTTCTCTCTTAGTCATCTGTCTATTTTAAGCATTCTTATGAAGACTGGCTGGAAAACAATGGCTTGAGCATCTCTCCTTTTCACATAAGATGGCAAACAGCTGTTTTCAATCGTGCCTTCTACAGTTGGGGACGGCGAAAAGCAAGGATGCTTTACCAATGGTATTTTTCATCTTCTTTTTTTGGTTTTAATTAATCACTGATCATAAGAGATACTTTGTTAAATATTTTCATCATTTTTCAGTCTACTGAGTTTTTAAATATTGACATTAAAACTTTCTGATTTTATATAAATGTATGGAATTGTATTATGCTTTTATATACATTAAAAATTAAGGTCTTAGGCAGTGCCTGTGGCTCAGTGGGTGGCCAGACAGCAACAACAACGAAAAAAATATAGCCAGGCATTGTGGCGGGCGCCTGTAGTCCCAGCTACTCAGGAGGCTGAGGCAGGAGAATCACCTAAGTCCAGAAGTTGGAGGTTGCTGTGAGCTGTGATGCCATGGCACTCTACCTAGGGTGATAAGCATTGTGGCTGGCGCCTGTAGTCCCAGCTACTCAGGAGGCTGAGGCAAGAGAATCACCTAAGTTCAGAAGTTGGAGGTTGCTGTGAGCTGTGATGCCATGGCACTCTACCTAGGGTGATAAAGTGAGGCTGTCTCTAAAAGAAAAAAGAAAAAAGTCAAGATCTTTATGTTGTTTTATGGTAATTAGAGGGTTTGCAGTGATCTCTGAGACACCCAAGATATACCAACAGGTTCTGTAGTTGAGAGGATGTGAGGGCGAGGTGGTATTTTTTTGTTGTTGTTGTTAAATATCTTTAGTTCCGGCTCTGCGCCTGTAGCTCAGAGGCTAGAGTGCCAGCCACATACACCAGAGCTGGCAGGTTAGAACCCAGCCTGGGCCTGCCAAACAACGATGACAACTACAACCAAAAAATAGCCAGGCATTGTGGCAGGCACCTGCAGTCCCAGCTACTTGGGAGGCTGAAGAAAGATAATCACTTAAGCCCAAGAGTTGGAGGTTGCTATGAGCTGTGACGTAATGGCACTCTACTGAGGGCAACATAGTGAGACTCTGTCTCAAGAAAAAAATTTTTTTTAGTTCCTGGCCAGGCACTGTGGCTCACCCCTATAATCCTAGCACTCTGGGAGACAGAGAAGGGAAGAGTGCTTGAGCTCAGGAGTTGGAGACTAGCCTGAGCAAGAGTGAGACCCCATCTCTACCAAAAATAGAAAAAATCAGCCAGGCATGGAGGCAGGCATCTGTAATCCCAGCTACTCAGTAGGCTGAGACAAGAGGATCATTTGAGCCCAGAAGTTTTGAGGTTGCATTGAGAGATGATGATACCACTACACTCTACCAGGGTAACAGAGTGAGATTCTATCAAAAACATTTTTTAGTTCCATATGAATTAGAGCTAAATGTAAGCAAATCATCAAAGAGTTAATAGAAAATAAAATGTTGGGTATGGTGGCTCATGCCTGTAGTCCCAGCACTCTAGGAGGCCGAAGCAGGTGGAGAGCTCTTGAGCTCATAAGTTTGAGACCAGCCTGAGCAAGAGTGAGACCCTGTCTCTAAAAAACTACCGAGGTGTTGTGGCAGACACCTGTGGTCCCAGCTACTTGGGAGGCTGAGGCAAGAGGATCTCTTGAGCCCAAGAGTTTGGGGTTGCTGTGAGCTATGATGCTGCAGTACTCTACTGGGGGCAACAAAGTGATAATCTGTCTCAAAGAAAAGAAAATGCAACATCAGGTCAAAGCATACAAAGTATAAAGAAAGAAGTACTAAAGAGCAGAAGTTGGTGACGTGGAAAATATACATTATAGAAAATCAGCAAAGCCAAAAGTAGGCTCACCCCTATCATGACTGATCAAGAGAAAAAGAAACACAACTAAAAATTAGAATTGAAAACTGGGCACTACTGCAGATATTCTATAGATATTAAAAAATAATAAGACTGGCTTAGTGCCTGTAGCTTAGTGGCTAGTGCGCCAGCCACATACATCAGAGCTGGTGAATTCAAATATGGCCCCGGCCTGCTGAACAATAGTGACAAGTACAACCAAAAAAAAAAAAAAAAAAGCTGGGCATTGTAGCGGGCATCTGTAGTCTCAGCTACTTGGGAGGCTGAGGCAAGAGAATTGCTTTTAAGCCCAAGAGTTTGAGGTTGCTGTGAGCTGTGATGCTATGGCACTCTACCGAGGGTGACATAGTGAGACTCTGTCTCAAAAAAAAAAAAAAGAAAGAATATTAAGGGGTGGTGCCTGTGGCTCAAGGAGTAGGGCGCCAGCCCCATATAGTGAAGGTGGTGGGTTCAAACCTGGCCCTGGCCAAAAACTGCAAAAAAAAAAAAGTGTGGAGAATCCTCAAAGATCCAAAAGTAGACCTTCCATTTGATCCCACTATCACCTTACTCGTTATCTCCCCAGAAGAAAAAGAAATCATTAAAAAAACCAAAATAGAACATTAGGAACAATTCTATGCCCATTAATTTGACAATTTAGGTGAATTGGACAAGTTACTTGAAAAACACAACTTACCAAAAGTTAAAAATGTGCCTTGGCACCCGTAGCACAATGGTTATGGCACCAGCTACTTGCACCAAGGCTGGCAAGTTCGAACCTGGCCCGGGCTAGCTAAATAATAATGACAACTGCAACAAAAAAATAGCCAGGTGTTGTGGCAGACACCTATACTACGAGCTACTCAGGAGGCTGAGGCAATAGAATCACTTGAGCCCAGTGCCTGTGCTTTAGTCAGGTATTGGAAGTTCAGGTAGGTAAAAAGGCAATAGAAATTTTTTTTTTTTTGAGACAGAGCCTCAAGCTGTCACCCTGGTTAGAGTGCCATGGCATCACAGCTCACAGCAACCTCCAACTCCTGGGCTTAAGCGAGTCTCTTGCCTCAGCCTCCCAAGTAGCTGGGACTAGAGGCGCCTGCCACAACACCTGGTCATTTTTGGGTTGTAGTTGTCATTGCTGTTTGGCAGGCCCAGGCTGGATTCAAACCCGCCAGCTGAGGTATATGTGGCTGGCACCTTAGCCACTTGAGTGAGCCACAGGTGCCGAGTGGGCAGTAGAAATTTTTTAACCATTATTTTGGAACTATCAAACGTGATTGGTCAGTGAATTTGTTAGTACATGATTTTTGAGGGATTATATAGTTATGTGATTTTTTTTCCTCTTGACAGGTTCAATTTTGGAATGGTGTTTGGCGTAATTGCCATGTTTAGCTCATTTTTTCTCCTTGGAAAAACACTGATGCAGACTTTGGCACAAATGATGGCTGACTCTCCCTCTTCTTACTCTTCATCCTCATCTTCTTCTTCCTCTTCCTCTTCCTCTTCCTCATCTTCTTCCTCTTCATCCTCTTCATCATCCTCCTCTCTTCACAATGAACAGGTGTTACAAGTTGTGGTAAGTACCTTCTTTTTGTTTTAAATACCTATTGAAATAGAAATATGAGATTTTTCTTTTGGCTAGCATAACTCCTATCCATAATATAAATATGAAAATAAAAGTAATGGCTAGGTGCAGTGGATCGTGCCTGTAATCCTAGCACTCTGGGATTTTGAGACCAGCATGAGTCAGAGTAAGACCTTGTCTCTAAAAATAGCGGGGCGTGTAGTACTAGCTACTCGGGAAGCTGAGACAATAGAATCACTTGAGCCCAAGAGTTTGAGGTTGCTGTGAGCTATGATGCTGTGGCACTCTATACCAAGGGTGACAAAGTGAGACTCTATCTCGAAAAAAGTAAAGTCAAGTCACATTTTTTCAAATTACCTACTTGAACAAAAACCATTAGTAAGAATATAGAAAGGAATTGTTGAGACATTTGGTAGTAGTTGTAGTAGTAGCAATGAAACAAATAGACTGCTATCAAGACAGATATTTGACTTCATTCATGTTGTCTTCTTAAGATGTTTAATAATTGTCACTTTCAGCTTGAAGCCTGTATCTCACTGAGTAGGGCACCAGCCACATACACCAAAGCTGGTGAGTTTGAGCCCTGCCTGGGCCTGCCAAACAACAATGGCAACTGCAACCAAAAAATAGCCAGGCGACGTGGCAGGCACCTGTAGTCCTAGCTACTTGGGAGGCTGAGGCAAGAGGATTGCTTGGGCCTGAGAGTTTGAGGTTGCTGTGAGTTGTGACACCATGGTACTCTACTGAGGGCAACATAATGAGACTCTTGTCTCAAAAAAAATCACTTTCAGGGTGACTCAAAGGGGTAGGACGCCGGCCCCATATGCTAGAGGTGGCGGGTTCAAACTCAGCTCCAGCAAAAAAAAAAGTCACTTTTAAGAAATAAGTATACTAATTTAAGATCTCTATAGTAAAGTATGTTTAATCCTATGCAAAGTGTTCCCGTTTCCTCTTTATGGACTTTCAGAGTCTAACCAATAATATCCTTTTAATTAAAGAACAATGCCCAGCTATTTTTTTGTTGCAGTTTGGCCAGGGCCAGGTTTGAACCCACCACCCTCAGTATATGGGGTTGGCACCCTACTCACTGAGCCACAGGTGCCGCCCAATATGCAGTGCTTCCTATGTGAGATTTTTTTTGCTTGTTTTATTCTTGCAACAATCTAGAAGTAAATATTAGTGTAATCTCTAGTATTAGTATTAATATTAGAAGACACTAATACAGTATTTGGTGTTATCTAACTAACATTAGTATTAGTGTTATCTATAGTATTAGTGTTATCCCTGACTTACAGATGAGAAAATTGAGGCCAGGAAACATTAAGTCATTTGCTTATGGTCAAAGCTAATAACTAGTAGATCCATCATCACTGACCTTAGAACTTAGGTACATTATTCTGTGCTCTAGTAGAACCTATGCTCTACTCCTCTTAAGAAAGACAAATACTTCTTTAAGGAACAATAAGTAATATTGACTGTGTCTATAGGGTGTATGATGTAAACATGGGTAGGAAAGGCAGCAAGAGAGGATAGTAAAGGAAATAAGATGGGAGAAATAGGTGGGGTCTAGGTTATGAAGGACCTTCCTCGGAAGGTTTTTTTTTTTTTTAGACAGTGTCACTCTGTCGCCCCAGGCTGGAATGCCATGGCATCAGCTTCACTCATAGCAACCTCAAATTCCTGGGTTCAAGCAATCCTCTTGCCTCAGCCTCCAGAATAACTGAGACTATAGGCACCACCACAATGCCCAGCTAATTTTTCTATTTTTAGTAATGATGGGGGTCTCACTCTTGCTCAGGTTGGTCTTGAATGCCTCAGCTGAAGGGACCCTCCTACCTCAGCCTCCCAGAGTACTAGGATTATAGGCCTAAGTGGTTTTGATTTCACCCGTAGGTAACATTTATGTGCAAAATGGACCAAAGTTCCTTACATGTAGAGACCAGCAGGCCAGGCGTGGTAGCTCACACCTATAAATAATCCTAGCATTCTTGGAGGCCGAGGCTGGTAGAACGCTTAGCTCAAGAATTTGAGACCAGGGCGGTGCCTGTGGCTCAAAGGAGTAGGGTGCTGGCCCCATATGCCGGAGGCGGCAGGTACAAGCTCAGCCCTGGCCAAAAACTAAAAAAAAAAAAAGCTGGACTTGGCTCAGCGCCTGTGGCTCAAGTGGCTAAGGCGCCAGCCACATACACC